AGTAAGAATTTTCTGATAAATGTATTCCTCATCCTGACTATCAAAGATCCTACATTTACACTGTAAATTGTAAAAAAATTTAATTGCTCTAGAATAAATTTAAAGAAAAGGCATTAAGTGCAAATTCAAGGAGCAATTCTTTCTAATGTGAATGGAATGTTAACTTGTAGTAAGTGCTCGTGTTTGTAAGCTGGACAAGTAGTTGACTCTCTTATTGCATAGGCTGGAAATGGCCAGCATAGCAAATCTGATTATTTCTTTGTGAGGTGTCTCGTTTCATGTACCGTTTCTTTTAATGACTTTAAAAAATGTGTATATAAACTTCTTTCTATTTAAGTGGAGCATACAGAATGCAGAGAGGTTTTGGTATTTGAGGACCCTGGGAAGATTATATGGGATTGTCTGCTCATTTTAGGCACAAAAAGTGTTGACTGTGAATAAAAAAGAATGTGGCAAGTATTTCTGATATAGAAACATAGAAGTCATGGAAAGAAAGTACATAATAGAGATATTTTGTCTTAATGTATTGTTTTTTAATGCATTAATTTAAATTGAACATTTTAAATTGAACATTTCAAATACTGAGGTGATTCTCTAATATTAAACTAAAACGCTGTTATTATCATCATAGCCAGTTTCTAGCAGCTGAGTTGCACATCAAAATTATGATTTTTTTCTCTTCTCAGTTATTCCTAGCTTTGATTCTAAGAAGAATAAGTGTAACAGATGAAATGGAATATATGTTATTAGAGCTTATATAAAAGTTCACTCAGCTTTTCTGTCATATTCAAGTACACATGGCTTTTATATTAAGAATTCTGATGCAATCACATTCAACTCGAAAGCACATCAGCACTGTCACATGCATATGGCTCTTGATAAAAATACTGGTTGCTGACTTTGGTCTTAACAGTTCAATCCAGCCATGTATTTTTCTGTTGAAATTCAGAGGGTTTGTAGATCCCTAGCTCTCTTTCTTATTGAATCCCTCTCCCCAAGAAGCCTCATAACACATTAGTTATTTTTTATTATATTAGAGATGCTACCTATTTCACTATAGCTTCAAATAAACTCAATGAACTTTTCAATGTCAAAGATAAAAGTGATTTTACCTGTTATTTAAAATCTTACTTCTAAAGTCCTAATGCACTTCAAATTCTGCTTGAAGAACTGAAGTAATTGATTCTGAGTAGCAAATAAAAAGTGTATAGGTGAAATTGCAAGTTGGTGCAGAGGACCTTTTTAAACAGCATTTAGATTTTAGCTTTTACACTGTATTATCAGTGGAGAATACCATTTTGAATTTTCACCCTACATACACTTAGGTAACTGATGTAACCCTAACTTTGAAAATGCCAGGATGTGTGTACTTACTGTTATGTGTCTTGTAAATCTCTGTTGCTAGATTTTTTTTATCAGTCTTTGATTAGCAGTGTAAGCCAGTCTTCTAGAAAGTAATATACACATTGTAAAAGATGGTTTAGATTCAGATATTCCATGCTGTTGCATGGGTGTTTACTTCTGTTTTTAAACTTCTCCATGCTACCATTTTATTGCCAGGCTACAACCATTATAAAAATTCGGAATTATTATTTGGCTTATCAGCAGTGAAGCCTCCTAAAAGTTAACCTAGACAAGAACTCATTGAAGAGTCAGCGTGAATCTCTCAGTCAGTAAATTTACTTTAAATAGTTTTGATTCTTTTAAATTTTGTGGGCAAGTTTTTGTATAGTGCTAAAATAGTGTAGACTCTGTCCACAATGTAATCAGCAACAGAAGTACTAAAATATAGATTTGTAACTGATTGACGTAAGTAGGATATCATCGCGGTCGCAGTTCAGATTATTTGACCTTTGTGGCTTTCTTGGTGGAATACTGCATCTAGGAGTGAGATAAAGATTAAAGTCAGTACTGTCAAATTTCATCTCCAGTAAAAGTAGTTTTACTGTATATGCACACATCTGCCGGTCTCTGTGGAATGTGTGTGTGATGTGCAATTGTTTCGGGTTGACTTACTAAACTCCAGTGCCTTGAAGTAATTTTCTTTCAGTTGTAACTTCCATACATGAAGAAAAAGAAAAGGCAAATTAGTATTATGAAACTGGAAATGCAAAGCATTGTATTCTGTGTAAATAAGACTTTTGATTAAATGCAGCAGCCAAATCTCAATCTCACAGAGCACTGAGGAAAGCTTGAAAAAACTAACAGCTATGGCTTCTTGAGGAGACCATAAATTTCATTATGCTATAGCAATGGAGTATATTTCTCAATAAACATGTAGGCATGATACCAAGCAGAACAAAACTCTAACCAACACAAGCAGTCTGAAATGGCTTTGCAGTTCACTTGTAAATTTTAAAATCATGAAATCTAACCAAAGTATTTCACTTATTGGGGCAGGCAATTGTTTCCCGTAACAGTGCATTGGCTACTTTGTAGAACTGAATATCAAACAAAGAAAAATAGAGGGACTTACAAAGACAAAAACAAACCTGCTGATGGAATTTGGGGTCATAATTTTACCTGTTTTACCTACATGCTCTCTGTTATAGTGCTAGAGGAACTATCAATATTCATTTTTTTCCATAAGCTTTTTTCTGTTGGTGTTAAAAATACCAAGTAAAACCCTGCTATGCTAATATCAGTGGGAAAAAAACCCCAAAACCTCCATGGGTACCTTATTAGAAAATATAAGTGTGTATACGCACACACACACACAAACACAAAAACACACAAATATGCAAATTGAAGTGTTTTACTCGGAAAGTATGTTAAAGTGGGTTCCGTGTGAAACCTTTTGGATGGAATACTCCAAAATAAAAGGAAAACATTTTTTACAAATGACTCTCTCCACTCCGTTTGATTTAGATGGATTCATCTCAGCTTTAGATGTTGAACGTAAAATTTAAAATTCTTGTTCTAGTAAATGAAATAAAACAGGATTGACAGATATACCACATAGCATTTGTGTATGTGTGTGTGAAAGAAATAGAACACTCATCACAAGATTTCACAAAAACTACAATTGCTCTGTCTTACACATACTGTTTTCTCAGGCTTTGGAGTATTTCTTGTTCATGATCTTTCAGTGTACAATGGTATGTCTAACAGAGTATTTCCTATAACATCACAGAAAATCTATGCAGGTAAGGATAGCTTTTCTGATATGAAATATAGGTACTAAATTCATTCTAACAGTAAACGTACAGATAAGCATGTATCATTTATAGGCCTCTGTAACTGATCTGTTTTTCCTTGCTTTGATTTTTAGGTAAGAAGTTTTCCCCCATTCCTTCAGTTGAATTTTTCTGGGGTACTTAACCTTCTAGCAACTCGAAGGAGGATCTGTGGAGTTTTACTTTTTGTAAATGACGAAAGAGGTAAAACATTCATTCAAAGATGGTTGAAGTTAATAAAATATAAATAAAATTAAAAAAAAATTCAGAACACCTGTTTTTTATTTTTTTTTTCCCTGTCACATTCCTCTTCCTTTGAACAGATTCCTTTTTCTTGCTCACAACAGCAGACAAAAACTACTGGAGGCCAGAGGGGCTGGGGAGGGAGAGGAGATTTGCAGGGCTTTGGCTCGCCTCTATGATCAAGTCAGAGGCTTTGTAGGATCAAGTCAATTAGAAGCTTTTGACTTGCCTCTGGCCCTGAAATTGCCAGCTGCTGAGTAATGAGATTGTTAGTATTTTTTTGAAAGAGTTTCTCTGGGTAGTAAGAGAGAATGAGATGAAACAGTTTTTGAAGAGTTTTGCTTGAAGGAGAGAAACTATTGGGCATCTCACTGTTTGGCCTACAGGCACGTTTAATTAGAGAAGTATTAGAATATTATTAGATTTTTTTTCTGGACTCCATGTAATTTGTAAAGTGGACAGTTGTGCATAAACATATTTGCTTGTGGACATAGTTCATCTAGGTTCAGTTTTAACTGCGTCTCAGTTGTCGCATGTGACATCAAGAAAGTTGTTCTGCTTTTACTCTTATGTGTCTGCTTCTCATTTGTAAAGCAGAAACATGTTTTAACTAACTCTGAAAAAGGCATGTGTCCCTATAAATATAGACAGCACAAATTTTGGATAAGGCTTCTTGGGGAGGGAATGTACGGGTAGGCTGTGGCAGCAACCTTGTCACAAGATACAGGCTCATGTAGTAAATTGGCTGGCTAAAGCCTCCTTACTGCTCTCTCCTCCTCCCCTTTCCTTGCTCCCTTTTTCCATTTTCTCCCTTCCCCTCAAATTTGGACACTAGGACCTTAAATTTTGTCCTAGAGATGACCCTTTTTTTTTAATAATTTGCTTATGTTGAAGTAATAACAAGAACTCTGTTACTAATGAAGATTGTTATATTATTTAACTTGTATTTAAAGTTATTTTGAGTTTTATTTTAATATTAGTGCAGCTTATACATTTTGAGCTAAATTTGTACAATCTCGTACACATTAGATACTCAGGTGCAGTTTTAAATGGTACAAATAAAAACTTTGCCATCCGTAGTATATATATAAAAATGCCATTTAAAATGATGGCACAAATAACTATAGGTAGCTGGTTCAGATCGTTAAATCATCCTGGAAATTAGATTTGCAGCTGCTTATGCAGAGAAGCAAGAAACAGAAGTTACTGTAAACAAGCTGAAAATATGTGCTGTCAAAACCAGCTTGTCATATGATCATCTGATTCATATCCTTCTGCTGCACAAATCAATAGGTTCAGAGTTGCTGAATTTGATAGATTTCAGTGCAAAATTGGGAACTCTGATCTGTGAAAATGAAAATGAGAGCTCTGTTTTTATTAACACATCACCATTATTGCTGCTGTAGGCAGACAATATCGTGGGGAGGAGGGGAATGGTGATGCATATAATGTTTCCTGCAATAGCTTAGCAGTAGGTTTTTCCTCTAGGATGGAGAGTAAAGAGAGAAAAGGAAAGGATTTGCTTGCTATGAGCTGGAAAAGCAGCGCAGTTGGTTCTGGCAGTGAGGGGGTTGACTGACAGTCTGCAGTGCAGTGGAGTTAGCTGAGCTCCCTATATGGCTGTGGATTAGCTATATGCTAATACTGATAGGAGAAGAGAAGCTGTACCCAGTGCAGTGAGCTGCTGGTGGAGGCAATCGGAGTCTTAGCAGAGCTGACTCCTCAAGAGCCATGGCTGAAGGGGGTGAAGGAGGGGAAGATGAAATACAGTTCCTACGAACTGTAAGTATCTGCTTTTCTAGGTCACCTAGTACATGATTTTATTATGTCTTGTGTCTATTACTTCTCTGTTGTATTAATATTAAAGTGTTATTCTGTGCTGGGCTTTGCCAAATGGCAGAAATGATTTAGCCAGTAGAAAAAATAAAACAAGCATATGAGCTTTAATAGCATTAGACAGTCTCAACGTGTTCTTTCTTGAATCTGCTCAATAGCTGGTTTGGTATAGGGAGACCTATTTCCTCTGTAATCCCCTGTGTTTGAAGCGTCCTCGTCAACTTTGTACTTGGGTTGCTAAATGTAGCATGCCAAATATCTGACCTCTGAAACTTCTGTCTAGGTTAGATTTCACTGACATTAACAGAAGCTTTGCAAATAGGAGAGCCTTAAAATGATGAATAAACCAAGCAAGCTCTTGATAACCCTTTCCAATAAGCACGCACACAGAAGCACATTTGTGAGTAGGGAGTACCAACAGACGTGGAACTGGGGGCTCGACAAATATAATAAAAGAGGTTTATTTTAAAAGGAGATAAGGATTTCTCTAGGAAAGGGTGTTAATTAGTGAAATAGTTTTTAACTTGGTGTAATTTTTTATAAAGACACCTCACGTTCTTTCTTAAAGCTTTACACTAATATGACAACCAATGTGAACTTCTAAGCAAGTCGTGTTCATGCAGTAACTTACGGGAAGGGGTTAAGATCTTTTTATTTGTCATCTTTTCTCTCTTGTACTTAGTCTTGCAGGGTAAAAATGATGTTTTGTTGTGTAAAAGCATGGAAGAATTGTGCTTGATATGTGTATTCTGCCCTCTTCCCATACCATCTTTACTGAAAAATGTTCCAGAAATAGTCCCCCCTAGAGTTGATACAACTTGAGAGGGATAAGCCTCCAAAATAAAATGTGCTAAGTGCCCAAAGTAGGAGATTGCAAGTCTGATCCCTAACAGGGGGGAATAGAAGGGTGAAGAGTGGTGGTGGCTGCTTCTGCTTATGTAAATTGTTTGGGTGTGATGAAGTGGCATTGGCACTTTCAAGCCTGTGAGAAGTTCTAGGGGGGAAAAATGGAAAATTACTATGAAGAACCCTTTTCTACATCCTTTCCCCCAGCTCTACTTTTTAGAGGTATCTATTTCACACAATTACTCGGTCTTTAGCAGAAGGTGCTTTCATCTGAGAACAGAGCTTTAAATTAATGCCCTTTATCCTTTCACTTTCTAAGATGTTTGAGAGAACAGTTTTCCTCAGTGATGGAGTGAGGAGCCTTGCGTCTTCATAGATGGCCTGTTTATGCTACATGAGATGGCACTTTCTGCTGCAGCTCATTCTCATGCTTGTAGAACTCTGTTGAGCTTCTTTTCAACATAAGGTGCTAAATAGAGGTGGAGGGCCCAAAAAGGAGGCAGGGACTGAGACCATGCAGAAGTGTTTCTTCTACTTGGTGTTAGGAAATCTTCTGCGGTAAGAAAACAGACTATTTTTTTTTCTGGAAGCCCCAGCTTCTTGTTGCTGTGAGCAAACATACAGTAATTGTACTGCTCTCTCCTTTCAATACAAATTCCTTCGCCTCATGGAGACGGGACCAATCCTCATTTCACGATACACTGAGAAAGGAACCTTTTATAAGGTAGTGGTGCTACAGCGATGTAAGCCTCACAGACTTGCATTATTTACAGACTTTACTGCTGCATAAACACAATGTTTGTACATACAATATCAGGTGTAGCAGCTCTTTAATATTCTTCTAGCATCATTGTTGATCAGTCAGGGTCTTCCCCAGACCAAAATGTTTTTTGGAGAATTTAGATTGCTAGTGAATGTTCCCGACACCTGTGCAGTTAAATCTTTTGAAATAATTGATCTCAGGATTCTTATTTTTGAGTCCATAGGAAGAAGTGTTCCAGGATGTTACAGAGACCACTTTGCTCTCAGATATAACTCTTTCTTAGTGAGATATAAACCAAAAATAAATCTCTTTTAAATAAAGTCTCTCTAAATAAAGTCTAGTAAAATTCTTTTTTTCTTCCTTAAAGGAAACCTTTCCCTTTGTCCACCATTTTCTATGATTTTTTTTTTAACCTCCGTGTCTAAGTTATAACATAGTTTTGTGAATCATTTTTTAAGCCTCTCTGGCCATGTAGAGGGCTAGTAGCACATAAAAATGACGCCTCTTTTCATTTGTAGCGGGTGGCAAACTTGTGGCCCTTTGGTGGCAAGCTTTTCAGGGCAAGTACACCTTTACCGTCATCACTAATGTACTAGTAGGTGTTTGACACTTGGTTGAAGTAAGTCCCAATGCTTGTGCAACAGTCTTTATGTGTAACAGTGATAGAATTTAAAGGAAGATTTTGCTAATACAGTGTAAATCCCTGTCTTCATTTTTCCCTGGCCTGTAAATTCAGGGTGAATATATGTAAGTACACACACGTGCACACACACACGCATTTTCTTTATACTTCTAAACTGCTGCTGTGTCTTTTAGTTGGGAATTTTTTTTGAGTTTTGATTTTTATAGTAACACTTGGAATTGTTTCAGTGTTGGTTTTCTGTTGGTGGCTTTCATCCGGCTTTGACTCTAGGTATTCAGTGTATGTATGCACCCACATTTTGTCTTGGGTGTAGAAGGGAGAAGTAAAGCATTTGTTGCATGTGTGTAGTATGCTATGCTGCCATCTCTTAGGCTCCTGCCTTAGTAGTGTTTGTTCTTTAGATAACTTTCTGCCCTATCTTTTGTTTATTATCTCATGCTATGGTGTGGATACATGAGAAACATTTGAAGGTAAAATATTTTTATGCATTAGCTGAGAATAATAAGTATGTTAAGCTGTGCTGTTTCAGTTACCATGCTGAGGGATGTGGGGAGAACCCTGTTACCCTTGGCAATGTGCGCTAGTGAGTGTAAAGCACTCTTATTCAAGCCTTTCCTAGCTACTTTAACTTTACTATCATGATTAAAATTGAGAGGGTCCTCTCCTCTCTGGAATATGTTCTGAATTTCTTTGTTGTTCTCATTGCTGCCAAATTAATCTAATATGAGGTAATGTCTTGGAACACACAGCACTTTCTCTATCAGAAATACCTGCGCAGTCACTTGCTAGCAGAGAACTTGATGGGGTGTAACATTAGAGGGGTATCAAGCCCCTCTAATGTAGAGGGGCAGTTTACAGATACTTTTAATGAAGCATGCTGAAGTTATTTGCCATCTTAGAGTTGGTATTATGGTGATAGCGTTGGGTTATAGGCATATTACAGTGTTATTTTTCTGAAATTCATCACATTAGTAGAGTGTTTCCAGATTTAATCCAAATTTGTTTTTTGAGGTGGCTCATAACACATTAGTCAGGAAAGTTTTGCCCTGTTCTCCATGCGTCTGAACAGAGTGTGTTCCTGTGTTTGTGGGTATGAATGTGTGTGGATACATTTGTGTATGTGTCTGCATATGCATGACTTTTTCCCCAGCTGCTTACAAATTTTCTGTTTCTCTGAGTGATTAAAAACAGTGGCCTTGATATCTAATTCTTCTCTGTTGACTTTTGCTTCTTTAAGAGTTTATCTCAGTGACCTAATTTTAAATGTTCTGATAAATATCTCCAGTCATTATCTAAAAATTTACAGGTAGGAGTGGGAGATTGTTTTCTGTCAAAGACTTAGTGTAGCTACCAGCTATATTTGAAAGAAACAATAGTATTTTGCTCTTTTTTTTTTTTTTGATGTTCCCATTAAGCAAAGACCTAGAATATGATATTCAATTTTTTTTTCAAGATCTAGTTCGTGTGTATGGATTTACAGAACTAGTTCATAGATTTTCTTTTAGGTATGGTTTTCACCACTTGTGTGTTAAATTGCAACTCAGAATCAAGATAGCTGGATGGCTTATACATGTTTATAAACGTGTAAATACATTTCCCTCTCTACATTGCTTGAAAATGAGCTCCTCTACTGTCAAGATGCTACAGAAGAGATGGGTTGTTATCTCAATATTAATTTTACAATATGAATAGTTTGAGTCTGTGTGGTATCAGTTAGCTTATTTCATTGTTTTCACCCTATTGCCAAATATTTATAAATATAAAAGTGACCACATCCTGCTTTTATATATATATATATATATATATATATTTTATTTTAAGGCATATGCTAAAGCATTTCAGTTTACCCTGGATTAATACTGTATAAAGGCAGTTCTTTAGATGCTCCTACCATATGCTGTTTTATCAGATCTGTGTTCCCAGTGATGCGTGCCTAGTGATAAACCAAAGAGTAAGTGTAAAGCTGAAATGTTGAAATGATTCATTCCATAGATCAACTTCGTATCCTGTAGATGATATTAATAACTGGGTACCACACCTGCCCGTTGATATTCTTTTTCAGGTGTCTAGCATAGCTCTTTGGGGCTTTATTCAGTGTTATAGAGAGTAGTCGCTCATAGTTTACTAACCAGATAAATATACTGGACAAATTTCTAAGTGTTAGACAATGTTGGAAGATCTTCCTAAGGAGATGTTTTTAGCAGTGGTTGATTGCAGTTTTGGGAAAAGACGGAAATTGTTTTCAATACATTGCATATGAGGTTATATACAAAGGATACAGAATATTGTATTTAGTAAAGGTCACAAAGGCAAAGGAATGCCATGAGATCAAATCAATGGAATTTTCCCCAAACTCCTTATAAAGGAGCTGGCACAGGTTCTGCATGGTGCTTGAGCAGCAGAATGTGTTCTACAGTATTCTCTTTAAATTAATTAGGACATTTTGTCTGTTGTCACTGAAATGTACTGCTTGTTATAACAATGGTATAATAGTGGTCCTTCAGTCTGTCATTTCCTTTTAGGAAAAGGGTAGAGAGAAAGGAAGAAATACATTGCATAAACCTTGAGTTACTTCTAAGGACTGGGGTGTACTAGGGGCAAAAATGAATTTTGAATTAAAAGTTTATCTGTCTATTTATCTATCTAGCTCTCTGCATTAAATATCCCCCTTCTGTTCTTGTTGTCACAATTTTT